TTACACCTGTATATCGCAGTGTATTACTGCCTTTACACCACTGTCCTATAATCTGCGTTCGTGCTGTGTGTGTAGTTAGTATGTGTGTGTAGATGTTACAACATTTGTCATATTAATGTGTATTTTTTGTCTTCATACAATCATCTTTTCTAAGAATTTGTTTTAAGTAGGTAGCAAATGAGAACATAGAAAAAATGAGTCTTTAAAAGTATTACTAGACTCGAGATGATCGTAATCGTATTTTTATAATAACTATCGTGAGACATACTAAATTAACTAAAAATCGTGGGTTCCTCACGTGACTATATTGAGAAAAGATCTACTATTTGCTGCAGATAGGCTCTTCTGCATAAGCAGCGTGTGCGGTCATGGCGATGTCGCGGAGCCTACTCTTTGTTTAATTTAGTTAATTCATGATCGATATGAGCCTCCTCTCCATTAGAATTTTTGCCAGAATCCCCACTGTGGGCAGGCGGGTTAGAGATCGCAGTCCAAAGTAATAAGCGATCAGAGACCGCTGTTGGCGGTTGTATTTATATATAATTTGTAGTCTCATAGTCGGATTTTACGACACATGTGGGAAGAATAGGACTGCAGACAAATTAGAATATAGCCATTATATTATAGTCAATTAGTAAAAAACTTTAGATAATGCAACTAATTTCCATTGACTAATTAATTTTCTTAATTTGCTTGGAGGAATGTATTTGACCTTCAAGCTAGGACATCGATCAAACAAATGTCATTCGTCATACAGAAATCATTCATCTTGTCGACCTAAAAGTCATGTCGACAATGACAGTGACCCTTCTTTATGAATTGTACTTATACCTAGCCAATCATAATATTAGTATTAGTAGGTACTACTGAAGTTATCATGTTCTAGAAAGTATTTTGTCAGGCATTAAGTTGGTTTTCGAGACAAATTAATGTTTAATTGATAATTCGTATGAGACTATAGAATCGATTTATTTACTTACCTTTGAAAGCGAAACAATTGAATGAAAAATTACTCATAAAATTAAGGACTTAGTTACAATAAATCTTTGGCGATTCTTTATTTATTATCATCGAAGTTCATTCAAGAAGAATCGAAGTTCGTGTTTAAACCTGGAGCCTAACGTGGTCTTTATGCAATTCTTGTTGGAGTCTGTAGCTCTAAAACTACTATTAACATTAGTCACCACAATATTTGGTGAAGAGATTCCACAGAATCAACAGGCCTGAAATCATATTAAGTTATAAAGACCACAAGAACGAAATCATCTCCAATTCCTGGAGACATAGGTTACCCGTAAAAAGGTTCCACGACGAAGTTACAAACCAACAAGGACCGCAAGGTCTATTAAGGACGCCATTTTGCTCTCCAGAAAATGACAGCTAAAAAAATTGTTCCCATAATTTAAACTGCGTTGGACATAGTACCGTGTCGACATCAGATGAAGCTACTCTTTTCTGTCAGATCTCTCTATAACATTTTCTACTTTATCGTTTTGGTATAAAGATGAAAATTCGATAAAAAAATAACAGATTGGTGGAGGATGACCTGCTGGTGCTCTGTACTTAGTCCATTATCCCCATTATCCCTCGATCTGTTTACCCCCAACCCCCTGTTGTTAAGGGCACTTTACGAATAACGTCGACAGCACCCCGGGGGCCATTTTATCCAATTACTTGATGAGCACATTCATTCGACGTCAAATACAATGTTTATTTTTAGATTGTCTGTTGGTATGTTGCTGTGGAAGTCTGAATTTTGGGATAGCTTCGGTATTTCTAATGGTTATTTGTAAAGAAGGTATTTTTCGTCGCAAGTCTTTTTTATTGAAAAAGGTAACACAATCAAACTGATGACTTTTCTATCTTTAAGATGAGAATTATATACTGATTTCTATTCATCTGATGTTTTAAGATTTTTATTTTTGAGAGTCGATATTATTTTGACGTTTCTAGAAAGATTTGGAAACTAATTATAATTAGAACTTTTACTGTAACATGTACATGCGTTTGAGGAAATGCTTGCTAAGTAACAACGTTCGTCGATCGGTTTTTGGTTAATTTATGCTTGTTGCTCTCCATGGGGAGTTGAGAAATTATTATATTTCTATAATTCTACTTGATTTCATTAAAATATTAGACATGTAAACTAGAGTAAATGGTATTTGACTTACTTGACAACACACTAAAACTACTGAACTATTTTTGTCATGTTTTGTCAAAAAATCCAAAAAGACGATATCAATGAAAAAATATAAAGGCAACAAATTCCTTTCTTGGGAACTGGATAGACTTAGTCTAAGAGCTAACAGTACGATTTTGTAAAAACTATCAATGAAATAAGTAAGTTTCTTTAGTACTGTCTTAAACAGAAACTAACAAAAGACCATTCATAGTATACGAAGACTATAAACTTCAAGAACAATAATAACTTGTACTTAAACATAAAACGGTATGACGTAATAGTTCAGTTAAGTGCTTAACTTGACATAAATTCGACGATACGTTAAATGCTCGTAAATTGTCAACGCTATATGGCTTCTACTGGGAGTAATCCCCGCAACTTGTGTCTCTGGATTTCATGTAAATACTTTATTGTATGTTGTGTGAGTCATAAGCTTTGATGAAGTCTACTGTCGGAGTATGAGAGAAACCTCATTACATTTTTGTTTTTCAGTTTATAGATGGTTTAGTAAGTGTAGGAGTTTAGAATTTAGTTGCATTGGTGGTGTGGTGGGCCGGAGGTTTAAGATGCTCGCTTCTCATGCATGACCAGTACCAATGTGACTTTTTTCGAGTTATTTATGTACTTTCTAAGATTATCTATGACAAACGGTGAAGGAAAATATCGTGAGGAAACCTGGGCTTATAATTTCTAATTATAAGTTTGTAACTGCCAACCCGCATTGAGCAAGCGTGGTGCTCATACCTTCTCCGTGTGAGAAGAGGCTTTGCTCAGCAGTGGGTATTATAGGCTGTTCATGATGATGATGATGATTGGTGGGGTGTTATTGTGAACTGTTTGTAAGAGTAAGTCTGTGAGGGTATATGTGCGTGTGTTTGAGACAGGAGAAAATCCCAGTGTGAGGAAACGTTACTATTATTTTCTTTAAAAAAAACGTTGGCCCACATAAGTTCACATACACATAACACCCAGACCCGGAACAACAATTTGTGAATCACGCAAAGAGTTGCTCCGTGCGGCCCAGCCACCGCACCAACCGTGTCGTCAACAATTACAATAAGGAAAAAGCACAAAATATTCTAAGTTTAAATAAATTAACCACTGAATATTATCATCACCAAATAGACAATGCTCCTCATGTCTTCATAGTGTGTAATACATTTACTTTTCAATGTTTATTTTCAACTAACTTCTGCCCGCGACTTCGTGCGCGCAATCCCATTTTCGTCCGTTCCCGTGGAATAACAAACACAACATTGCCAAATCAGTCAAGCTGTTTTCAAGTTATAGCGTGACAACGGGAAACGGGTTTCATTTTTATATACAAGGTGTTATTTTAAAGCCGCGTAATTTTCTAGGAGGTAACTCGGATACCGATTCTGAGTCCGAATCAATAAAAAAACATTGTAGGCAAATATTTTACATTTTTCTGAAATTACAGAAATCCGTAAGTGCAAAGTACACACCGCCGTCTTGTAACTAGCTTTATAACGCGGATTAACACACGCAAACTCAAACACGTAATTGATATTATTTCTAATTCCATAAAACTCCAATAAGAAACATTGCTGTCGCTTATTCTGAATCCTGTCGAACTTAAACGATTTATTATAGCCGTATTTTTAACGGTTGGCCCGAAATTTTCTCTTACATTGAACCTTTATGACTTCTGTGACATGCCCCCGAGAAATGACACGGTTTCAAAACTACACCTTGTGTATAGATAGCCGCTTTTGTGTTCTTTGGCTTTTAAATTCTGTCAATTTAAGCTTTGTGTGGTTAGCGCTTTACTCTGCAACCTCAAATTTAGTTAAAACTTAGACTGATTAGTATTTAGTTACCTAGAAACATTATATACCTACTACCCTTTAATATCCTTTAAAATTGAATTAAAATAAATATTTACCAACAAAAATTTAAAATATACGTTGTGTTTTATGTATTTTTTTTTTCGTAATAATAATGTGTATTGTTTTTATATATGTGGTGTCATTTGTTTCCGAAAAAGAATCAGTTAGATCTCTTCGGGTGCTCTTTTGAATTATCGTAACGCAGTTCGTGAATGAGACCATAGACAGACTAAACTTACAACTAGATGTATACAGGTGTAAACAGAATGCTCACGAAAAATGCCGATAGGTAATGGTAAAAAACAGGTTAATATATTTTCAAAAAAATAAGGAATTAAATATTTCTTTTATGTAATAATAGTTGTAATCAACTGTTCACGGCGACGAAAACAATTAAAATTGGGATGATGACGGGGTATGAAAATTAATAATCTATTTAGTCCGTAAGTTAAGTAATGAAAAAATATTAGATATTAGACACGTATTTTTTTATTTTGTTGTATACAAAAATAATACTTAGATAAAACGAATCAAAGTTTAGGAGTGGGGGCTATAAAACGTCATTTCTACGTATAAAATGTACATAGGAGTGACGTCACACGGCATTTCAAATCTATATATCGTCGAAAGTATTCGTTTCTGTAAGAACATAAAAAATACGTGTGTAATGATTTAAACTAACATACCAGACGGACATTAAACTAAAAATTAGTCATCAACCCTATTGTAAATACAATTTCTTTTTGTCAGCGTTTCGTTTACACCCTGTATCATCAAGTCCTGTGAGATTGTTAATGTAATTTGAACTTTTTCGGAAACAATGAAGCAAAACATTTACAAATCACAACTCTCATACACGTCATACATTGATTTTTGTGTATTTTACCTCTGTTGATAACCCTAACCACTATCAGATTCATAGAAAATAAACTATATTGCTTCATGATTAAAGTTCAATGTTGTTTCAGACGACGAATTCGGTGAGAAGTCAGTGTCTGTTCTGCTGGATGGAGAAGAATCCGAGATGATTTTCATTGATCACCCTAGTACTGAGATGTCGGTGAGTTTAAAAGTTATTGAAGGACAAATGGTGAAAATAGTGTAACGAAGATACATTCACATTTGACTTTGAGTCCTCAAGCGGTCACCGGTGGCCGCTCTCCACTTACTCCATTATAGACCTTATTTCCCATATTTAGAGACTACCTTTGTTTGATCAAATGTTGTGGATTTTTCGTCATTGTAGATTTAGAAGTCAATTTCAATGCATTTCATGGAATTCCCAGTGTACACCTATTCTGGTTGGTTGGTGACAAGCGTTTGCAGCCCAATGAGGGTCCTTAGATTACTCCTAAGTCGAACAATTTATTATTGGAGTATTTTCGGTTATAAGAAAACTCCCTCCGTTGATCGACAATTTAGAATGAATCACAATCCTCACGGTTGATTTAATACATTGATATATCATCCCCAAAATTTGTTCATAGGTTCATAGTAAGCATCGGAAAGAAGGTCCATAATAGAGTTAGTAATCTGCCTAATAAAACTGATCATAATTGCATCGAGAAGCCTAATTTATGTATCATCACATTTCTTCCACCACAGGTAGAGAACTGCCTCTCAACATATGAACCCCATGCTTGCGTCGTGGTCTACTCCGTGGTGGCCAAGAGCTCCTTCACCCGCGCCGCCGAGTTACTGGCATACCTCGCCCGGGAACAGTTCACTGTGGAACGAACTGTTGTGCTTGTAGGGAACAAGGCCGACCTGGCTAGAGCTAGACAGGTTTCTACTAATGGTGAGTCGTAGTAGACTATGGGTCATTCACACCTATTAGATCAGTATAATAAATTATGTTTGCTTCGCATGTCCAAAATGTGGAATCATTTAAAACCTACAGATTTAAAAAAAAAATCTTACTGTATCTTAAGATCGGTAAGCAATAGTATTGAGAATGTCTATGCGCTACGCAGATTGTTGTCTGCTTATTTGTCACCTATCACGTCATCAAAAACAGAAAGTGTGATAGTCTCATATGCTTTCAATATGTAATTGGTCGTAGACTTCAACAACTTCTTTTTAATGACATATAGGGATAGATCCTTAGGTTCTTAGGACATATTATGAGATCTTATAGAAACATCAGAGATCACGTAGAAGATTCTTAGACTGTGTTAGAAGTAAAGATAAATATTTGTTTTACACTTTATTTACTTTAAACTGTCAAACACCAAGCGGTCACCAATGACCTTAACCTATTGTTCTATAATTGTGTCTATAATGACGGTACTCGACGAGTTAAAACGGATCTGTCTTCCTCACAGAGGGTAAAGCACTGGCGACGTCAAGAGACTGCAAGTTCATAGAGACATCATCAGGGATCCAGCACAATGTGGACGAGCTACTGGTTGGTATCCTCAAGCAAATTCGACTGAAAGAGAGCAGGGATAAGAAACACGCCAAAAAAACTGGAAAACAGGTAACAGATTTAAACAAAATTGATCTCTATTTGTATGTGGTAGGTATAAATTTTCTATACGGCTTAAAATACAAAATATAATAAATTATAACGTTAATATTTAAGACAAGATTAAACTTGTCTTCAATATAACACGCTGAGAAAATTAATTTTGTTAAGCAAAGTATTTTTATGAAACGCGATTATAAGATTATTACTTTAAAATATAATTTGTGTCAAGAGAGATAAAGTTCAAACTCAGACTAGATCTGTCACTAGAATATAGTCTTGACATTTATTTAACATTGCTCCTCAATTGTTGTTATCTAAAACTGATCCTCAATCATGAGGCTGGCAATGAAGAGACAAATAATTCAGATGTTTGAATAGCAAATCGAGGCATTAGTGAGATACCTGAGCAATTTCGAGTTCAAATGATAAAATATGTATAACAATAAAACAAGGTAGAAGAAAAATTAATGAGACAATTTCCGAAGCTTGAACTTGATAAGAAACTCAATGTTCTGTAAAAAGGAAAGACAAAAAGAAGGGCAAATGTTACATGTCTGTATATTTGCGTAATTACAAACGAAGAAAGATAAAAAGGTTTAAATGGAACAACCCAAGTTCGAGATCAAACGGAGGAATTCATGTTTTTCTTCAGAATTAAAAATAATATTTTCGTTTGAAGAATTTTTCTTACAATTATAATTATTTTGTTTTAGGACACGAAGCAGCCTAAACTAGCCAGTTCGCGCACACACATATCGCTCAGCATCGCAAGGGAATTACTGCAAAAGATCTGCATAAACGACATCTCTAAATCGAAGTCTTGCGAGAACTTGCACGTCCTGTAATCTTCTATGCTCCTGGTACCTTATAAATGTTGTAGATGTTTTCTCTTAATGTTAATTGTATAGAGGATTCTTCCTTCTAATTTTACTATCTCGTGTTTTAATCAATGTTCGACTGGTTATAAACTAAGGTTGATTCTGTCGGGTATACGATAAGCGCTGTAGATACCTGCTTTGTTACTGGAATTTTAATATAACCAATCTCTCTGGAAGCTCGTCAGATGCAGATTCCAATTTACTGCAGAAAATTCCTTGAAAGACTTTCCCTTTGACATCCCATTTAATCTTTTTTACAAAATGATCCAGTAATTTCTATTCACTATAGTTAACTTTCGCAAATGCCGTATTGTGTCAAGAAAAAGCAGACGTTTTTCCTCTAAACCATTTACGTCACGTCGAATAATTTATGGCCGATGTTATAAAAAGAATATTCGTTTGAAAAGTGGGGAAAATCCGGAGACCCTTGGAAAAAGCGTTGATTTTCATACAAAATATTCTTATTTCGAAGGGAAAATGCCTAAATAATATTATATTCTCGGTCAATTTCATATCATATGGGTTCAACAAACAATAGCTTGGCAATATCGCGATCGATTTTTTGGTCATATGAAAGACATTCGAGAAATTCATATAAATCAGCGTCCAAATTTATTGTATTCCATCCATTCATTGTTGTAATAAGGTTTCGTTGTCTGGATTTGATGAATTCTTGAGCCCGTCTCTCTTTTAACATTTATAATGCTTATTAGAATCATCATTTGACAATATTATCAGTCTCTCTCAGTTTGAATTTTAAAGTAAACTTAAGTACGTCAAAGTAATCTTTTGTTTTAGTTTGATAATCTGTCCATTTAATTGGATCGTTATTCATATAAATGGATGCGAAAATTAATTCGTAGAATTTCGTGAGAGACTTTTTTGCTATTCCCAGATATGAATCAAAGAACTGCTTTCGTTTCAACAGGTTTTGTGATTTAATTGCATACAGTTTGTTAAAGAGGTCCTTGACATCAGTTATTATAATAATGAAGTATAATGCATTAAAAATCAATCAATATTTTATTACATATTAACATTTTATTACTTAAAAAACTCAATGTTCAGTATTACGGGAATCCATATCTGTATCATATTTATCTTCATTTACATTTCTATCCTAATTTCCTTTATCATTGTCAACTTCAAATCTATCAGTACAAATGCCAGCAGGACTTTTAAACTCTAAACTTGTTCTTGTTACTTAACTATAACGAGATAAGGGTGGTTTTGCCTTGACAAGGGATAAACGACCTTGGTCCCACTTAATGGAATAGATGACCTTGTCACCACTGAAAGGGAATATTAAGCGAAGCTAATTTAAGGTAGGCATTCATTTAATTCTTCCTAAGATGAATAGAAAGTATTAAAGACTATTTTTAATACTAAAATCTTGGTGTGGTTAGAAGTAAAACTATTGTTTCTTTTTTATTCATTGAATTTTAATAATGTTATGAAGAAATTGAACATAGTTTGTTCATGTCTTGAGTTTCAAGTTCTGTTACATTTTTGGGCGGGCGCCACTGTAGATTTTGGTTTACCGAAGCTGCAATGGGGCGCGTCCAATGAACAAAGGTAGTTGAATGTAAGCGTCGACTTGATTGGATGTTACTGATATATGACGGGATGCTACTTGTGTATTGATCGCTCAGTACTACTACGATTTAAACTAAAGTTAATAGTTAATTTCCTGTACTGTGCGATCTTTAGCAGATGATGACGTCATTTGAAAACTTTAATAAGAACAAATTCGACTCAGCGCTTTTCTATCAAGATAAAACATATTTTCATATTGCAACAAATCTAAAGAACCTTTTAATATAATAATAATTTAATAGAGTATTCAATGTTGTTCATAAATGTATCAAATATTGATAATATCGATAACATAATGAGAATTTTCCATTAGCATACTTGTTAAGTTTAGTGTTTGTATTCGACTCGTGTTTCAAGTAATTACTTAGATGGTTCATGGTATCAGATGAACAGCTATGGCGTGGAGTGTCTGCTGAGGTATTTTATTTGCATTTCAACTTATTGATGGTACAAATTTTGTTGTTTGAAGGCATCTTTGTGGCTTTTCGAGAAATTGATCATAAACTTTGTAAAAAAATATTAACTTTTACCCGAGCTTTGTCTGCGTATTCCAGTTTTATCCAATGGTAGTATTTAATGGGGTAAAAAGTACACTATCACCTAAGTCAGCCCATACCCTGCCTGTATATAAAATTTCATCAAAATCCGTTCAGTAGTTCCAGCGTGATTAACGGATAAACATCCAAATATCTTTATTTGGATGTCTGATGAACTTTCACAATGACATTCATAATACTAGTATGATGTTACATTATAAAAATAGTTTCATTAGTCTAAAACGAACAAGACAAATGTGCATTTCTTGTATGTTTAAACTTTTCTTATAATGAGGATGATGACAGGGTATGAAAATTAAAAATCTAATTAGTCCGTAAGTTAGGTAATTAAAAAATATTTGACACGTATTTTTTTATTTTGTCGTATAATAAAACAATACTTAGATAAAACGAATCAAAGTTTAAGAGTGGGAGCTAAAACGTCATTTCTTAGTATAAAATGTACTGAGAAGTGACGTCACGCGACATTTCAAGTCAATATATCTTCGAAACTACTCGTTTCTGTACGAAAATAAAAAATACGTGTCTACTGTTTTTAAATAATCTACCAGACGGACATTAAAATAAAAATTAGTCGTCTACCCTATACAAATCTATCCATATTTGTAATCAAATTGTATTTTAAACCAATCCCTCGTCCGTTAAAGACATTCAGTGATCAATGATTAGCTATTGAATTCGAATAGCTTCGAAGTGATTGGCATTTGTTTAGGCAGTCTAGGTTATTAACTGCATCATCCAAGATTTTTGTTTAGTCTATTGGTCGAATTTCATTTCGGTTAGCTGATATTATTGGCCTTAATTATGTGCGCTTTAATTGTTTCGTTTAGTAATCTTATGGACACAGTATTATTGTCAATTTCTACAACAAAAGTAATAACAAATAATTATTTTAGGAACTATGTTAAAAAGGCGACTTCAAATCCCCTCTTTTTTGTCGCGTAATTAACATACTGAAACCTTTTCCTATGTGAAACAAACACTATCCTGAAACCGCATCAAAATCGGTTCCGCCAAAGGCGAGATACAGCAGGTCACATTGAAAATTTTCTTTTTTTGAAGTCTTTAGAAACACAACATAACATCACACCTTTTGTCTCCCAAGAGATAAGCAGAGGTGCACATTATGACACTTAATACCACTGTACAATGTAATACTATTTATGTTATGAGACCCATGTATTAGAGTGTGAACCTATTACCATATTTTCAGTTGAAAATTACTAATATTACTTTGTCTCCAATTTAAAAAAAATCAGTTCCTTTCAAATGACCTTATTCATAGTTCTTACTTTACCTTTTCTGAGAAACAAGTTGTTATTCTAGAAAATTCCATCAACAGCTATGTTTGATCAGACGTTCCACGACTCCACCTTGCCTCGCCTTGAAATATCAAGTCTACACTTAGTAGCCATCTTTAAGTCACCCAGATGGACAGTAACCATTTGTAATCAATATGCCATAAAACTATGGCTAATTATGAAGAAAGTTTTACTTGAAACATGAGTTGTTTATGTATTGTAGGGGAGCGGCCATGGTTTTGTGAATTGATGTATTTTTTTAACTTGACCTATCCAGTTTAAGAAATTGTAGATACTCTATGTTTGTTTACGTTTTTATAATAACTATCGTGAGTTTTCGTAAATTAACTAAATTTCGCAGTTTACTCACGTGAATATATTGAGAAAAGCTGTATTAGTTTCGAACTACAGGTGGTTTCTTCAGTAGTAAGAAAAAGGAAAGAGAGAGAAGACAGAAAGGAAGAGCCTGTCTAGTATAGTCACGTGAGTAACCCGCGATTTTTAGTTAATTTGTTTAGGTTTTCTAGGAAAATGTTGAAATTATTTTTCTTGTTGTTGTTGTATGGTGTTCTGTCATACGTAGTATTAATCATAATTATGGTGAGTGAAAGTATTTCAAAATTAAGAGTGAAGTGTTTATTTTTAAGTTGTTCACCCAGACATAGAAACGCTATTATTATCCTTTTTACACGAATTTCATTTGTACGTTTTCTCTAAATTAAGGGCCGATTTTTCCAACACCAGATAAATTTTAAATGAGGAATAACATTGATCATTTGACAATTCTTCCATACTAAAAACTGTCAAATGAAATTTTATTCTACAGTTCAAAATTAACTTATGACTCTAAAATCGGTCCTAAATATGTGTTTATCATTAGCATGGCTGCTCCTAACTCCATACAATTTAATATTGTTTATACTTTAGCAAGCATTTGTATAAATAATATTAAAGAAGGAGTTTTAATATTTAGATACCCAATGTGCAATCCAAGACGGCGTCGTCGTATTTTCTATGTAAAGTTTTACCTGATTGCACGCGTAGTACACAGTATAAAAATGATGCAGAAGATCAACTACTTAAATAATTACCGAAGAAAATAATTATATTTTTAACAAGCTGGTTTACTTGTATTCTGGTTTATATGTAAAAAGCTATTGTGTACTAAGAAGTCCCCAATGACAGTTCATTTTTAGTTGAGTGTAGTAGCTACCGGACAGATGCAAAATACATGTCTTAAATAAAATTGTCGAAATGTAAATGTTTTGTGACCATTCACGAAATTTCCGAATTCGGGAATGATCACGAAAGGAGTTACTGATAAAAACGAATAATAAGTCAGATTTGTGTTTTAATAACGTAATAAACCAATTTAGCAGCGCAATGTAGCGTAATGTATGTTTGGCTAGTGCAGGATACACACCTCCGTAATCGTAGGTCCATACAGCCTACACACCGTAAGATTTAACTGTACAGTTCGTCTGTACCTATAGTTAAATTGCACAGTTATTTCGTAAGGTATGTAACCTGCATTATATTATATTTAAACATCAGTATTTTATACTACGCTAACTCGAATTTCAGGTAAAATTGTTTTATTATAAATAAAATTCATAACTTCGTTATTTTCGCGTAGTTCTTCATGATTTCCAGTCATATAAAAACCGTGTTTTAAGCAACTTGGCGTAAAAAATGATTTTACCTAAAATTCGAGTTATCATAGTTATAAATTGCTGGTGTCGATTTGTTCTTACATTACCAAAATATGTACCTACATTTTTGTAATCTATTTATCTCTTTTTTTATTCTCAGCGGGTTGATCCTTCTGCAACTTTTTTATACTGTGGCAAGAATCAGTATTAATAATATTCATAATAAAAATATAAAATTCATGCGCTTGTCTATACATAGCGTAAGTTAATGTAAAGCTACATGTTACTATTAGAATACTAATTATATTTTTCTATACGAAACTTTCTACGACTTTTGAAATGAGTAGATTTGTTGTTTGAGTCACTTTTTTTCGTTTGTGCCAATGTAAAATTGATTGTCTTTACATCTTTTTTTACGTAGAAAGGTATTTCGATTGTTGATTGTTAATCAGTCGATTTTAGGTTTTATTAGAGTTTTTAATATTTTCGTCTCCTATTACATATGATTAATTACATAAATAGTTAAAATATGTGTAACATTTAATAAAATGCAACTTTCACACATGATTTTGTAATGTTCGCCATTATCCTACACCT